GGAGCCACTGGTCCTGGAGGTGCTCGTACTGGCGGTACTTGAGCTGCTGGGCCTGGGGGCGCTGCTGACGGTCCTGCTGGAGTTGGTGCTGCTGGAGCTGGAGCTGCTGGAGCTGGAGCTGCTGGGGGTGTTGGCGCTGGAGGTGCTGCTGGCGCTGGTGCGTCTGAGGGTGCTGGAGTTGGCGCTGTTGGAGCTGGAGGTACTGCTGGCGCTGGTGCTGCCGCTGGGGGTACTGGTACTGTCCCTGCTAGTTCTGGAGGCGCTGCGCGGCCGGGGCCGTACTTCGTTCCGCTCCTTGAGCAGGTTCTTGGTCTCCCGCCCTCTACTGGTCCTGCTCCTCCCTTAGAGTGTCCACAGCCGGTCCAGTCGCGGTCACAGTTACAGCCCGCCTCCCCCCTACCTGCTCCTTCTCCCTACATTGGTCCTACCGGAGGTCTTGCTGAGCGTCGTGAGCCTGCGTCTCGTCCTGCGTCGCCTGTTCGTGCTGCTTGCAGTAGTAGTCGTGCTACGCGTCCGCGTCCTCCTGCGGTCCCAGGCACACACCAGATGGCACTGCGTCCTTCCACTGCTCCTCTGCGTGTCCCGTTGCCGTCTCCTCCAGAGTCCTCTCTTCCTATTCTTGCTGACCCGGAGTCTGACTCTCTTCGTAATGCCAGTCCTACTGTCACGCGTCTCCTGGCTACTGTTGTCACTGACCCTTCCTTTGAGTCCACTGCTGCGTCTGCCTTAGTTGCTGAGCTTGTCGACTTTGCTGCTCGCTGTCGTCTCGACTACGCCGCTAGTCTTGTTGCTGAGTGTGAGTCTGTCTGTCCTCCGTCCGTTGGGGGTGAGTGTGCTCTTAGCACGGACGTCCTTGAGGACAGGTAGGAGGAGTTCCAGTGTTTTGCTGCTGCTTTGCCTCATCTCGTGTCCACGCTGATTGCCCCTGAGGGAGACCCGGATGCACCAGACATCTCGACTCCTCGATCGTACGCTGAGGCGATCGAGGGTCCCTACTCCTCACAGTGGCAGTCAGCCATGGACGCAGAGATGGCTTCCTGGAAGTCCACAGGCACCTACGTCGACAAGGTTCCCCCACCTGGGGCGAACATCGTCAGTGGCATGTGGATTTTCAGGGTGAAGCGGCCGCCGGGTTCTCTGCCTGTCTTCAAGGCGCGTTACGTGGCTCGAGGCTTCAGACAATGGCAGGGAGTTGACCACTCTTCGGGTGCTGCTGCACATAGCCGCTCAGCGCGACTACGAGCTTCACTCTCTTGACTTCAGCACAGCTTTCCTGTAGGGCAGCCTGCACGAGGAGATCTGGCTGCGCCGCCCACCTGGCTTCATTGGGTCGTTTCCCCCTGGTACCCAATGGAGTCTCCGGCGGCTAGTCTACGGTCTCCGCTAGGCGCCCCGTGAGTGGCACGACACACTGAGGACTACACTTGCGGTTCTTGGGTTTGCTCCTTCTACAGCCGACCCGTCGCTGTTTCTGCGCACCAACACCTCTTTGTCGTGGTTCTACATCCTCGTGTACGTCGACAACTTGGTCTTTGCCACTGCTGACACTGTTGGACTAGCCCACGTGAAGTCCGAGCTGCAGAAAAGACACACGTGCACAGACCTGGGTGAACTGCGCGGCTACCTTGGCTTGCAGTGTGAAGAATGAGGAATGGAGAAGAGAGAGGGATTGCACTAGCAGCAGTTGGCATACACATAGGAAACCCTAATTGGGTTGTACTCGCTATAGAGTACCCCACTGCAGGCTAGACAATTATTACATTCTGACACACCCCCATAGCCAAAGTGGGGTGTAAACAACACAATGAGCAAGCAGTCATAGAGCAGGATATCACAATAGGGAGCAAAGCTAGAGTTTATCACAGCGGGCAAGTGAGGAGGAGGAGGAACTTTGGAGGGAGAGAAGATGGGAGGCAACGACTGAAGCTGCAGAAGGACGGGCACAGGAGCGGCTGACTCAGTGGCTACCGAAGCAAGGGCGACGGACTACTGGAGTAACTGGCTCCGCGGCTATAGACGAGCGGCAGGAGCAACGGACCCACTGGCGACTGGTGCAGCAGGCTCACTGGCTACCGAAGCAAGGGCGACGGACTATAGGCGCTGCAGGCAACACGACAGCTACCTTCACACAACCTCCTCTAGCTGCCCCACACCTCTCGACACACACCCCCTGCTCAAACCCTAGTTCTACTCCCACAGCACCCCCCTTTCACACACACCCTGCTGCACCCTAGGTTCACTCACACCCCACCCCCTAGCACCACTCCGTCGACTCCCACACACCCACCCCCCTCAGCGGCAGCTGCAGTAGTGGGAGACAGAGGAGGAGGAGGAGCAGGGGAGACCACACACCCGCCACCCCCTACTCGCCACCCCCAAACCCTAACACAGGGCAGGGCGGGATGGCGGGTAGGGAGGTTACGAGGGGGGGGGGGGGGGGGGCGACGCGCGGCCTCCCAGGGCGCCAAAGCAGGCGGCAAAAGGGGCGACGCTCGCCCCCCCCCCCCAAGGTGGCCGCGGCCCCCCAGGGAGCCGCGACGGGCGACGGGAAAAGAGGGGGGGGGGGGGCGGTGCACGTGCCCCCGGTGCGCCGCGACTGGCAACGGAGCATGGCCGGGGCGGCGCCGGGGCAGGGTCGAGGCAGGGCCGAAAGGGGCGGCGACGGGGCCGCAAGGGGCGGCGACGGGGCTGCTGGAGGCGGCGACGGGGCCGATAGGGGCGGCGATGGGGCCGTTAGGGGCGGCGACGGGGCCGCAAGGGGCGGCGACGGGGCCGCTGGAGGCGGCGACGGGGCCGATAGGGGCGGCGACGGGGCCGTTAGGGGCGGCGACGCGGCCACAAGGGGCGGCGAAGGGGCCGCTGGAGGCGGCGACGGGGCGGTTAGGGGCGGCGACGGGGCCGTTAGGGGCGGCGACGGGGCCGCAAGGGGCGGCGACGGGGCCGATAGGGGCGGCGACGGGGCCGCGAAGGGGCCGCAAGGGGCCTGGAAGGGCGGCGAACGGGTCGCTAGGGGCGGCGACGGGGCCGCGAGGGGCCTGAGAGGTCGGCGACGGGGCCGTTAGGGGCGGCGATAGGGCCGCGAAGGGGCTGCGAGGGGCCTGGAAGGGCGGCAACTGGGCCGCGAAGGGGCCGCGAGGGGCCGAGAAGGGCGGCGACGGGGCCGCGAGGGGTGGCGACGGGGCCGCTAAGGGTCGCGCGAGGGGCACGCCACGGGGCGTGCAGAACACAGAGTAGCAGCGGAAGCAGTTAGGTGGGCCCACAGGCCAGGAGCGTAGATGCTTTGATACCATGTGAAGAATGAGGAATGAAGAAGAGAGAGGGATTGCACTAGCAGCAGTTGGCATACATATAGGAAACCCTAATTGGGTTGTACTCGCTATAGAGTACCCCACTGCAGGCTAGACAGTTATTACATTCCGACATGCAGATCACCCGGGACAGAGCACAGCGCACCATTACCCTGACTCAGTCACACATGGTGCAGCAGGTCCTTCAGCGCTTCGACTTCACGTACTCCTCGCCTCAGGCCACTCCTCTGTCTACTCGCCACTCGCTCTCAGCTCTGCCTTCGGATGAGTCCGTAGAGCCGAGTGGCCCATACCCAAAGCTTGTTGGCTGCCTCATGTACCTGATGACCTGCACACGACCTGACCTTGCATACCCTCTTAGCATCTTGGCACGCTATGTTGCTCCTTGGAGACACCGACCAGAGCACATGGCTGCAGCGAAGAGGGTGTTGCGCTACTTGTGCAGTACGTAGGGCATAGGGCTAGTGCTTGGAGGGCGACGTTCAGTGGTCCTCACAGGTCACGTAGACACTTCTTGGGCTGACGACCAGGCTACGCAGCGGTCGTCACAGGGTTACACCTTCAGCCTTGGTTCCGGCTATGTTTCGTGGCGGTCTACCCGCTCGTCTTCTGTTCTCACCTCCAGCTGTGAGGCTGAGATCTACGCGGGGGCCATGGCTGCACAGGAGCTACGCTGGCTCACCTACCTGCTGATTGACCTAGGAGAGCCGCCTTGTTCTCCTCCAGTTCTGTACGTAGACAACAAGGCCATGCTGGCCTTGTGTCGGGAGCACAGACTGGAGCACAGAACGAAGCACATTGCTCTTCGCTACTTCCTTGCTCGTGAGCTGCAGCAGCGTGGTCAGCTGCGCCTTGCTTACGTGGCCTCTTAGGCCAACACTGCTGATATCTTTACCAAGGCACTTCCGCCTTGTGATCATCAGCGCTTCTGTACGATGCTAGGTCTTGTGCCTACTTGGCCTCACTTGCTCACTTTTTGACCTTGCTCGTACTGTGATCTTTCTATACCTGCACTTGCTTGTTTACCTTTATATATGATCTTGCATGTGAACTGGCCTTGTGGCCTTGAACTTGTGCTCGGACTGTGTGGTGACGTTGTGATCCACCCTGAGCTTGCTTTGCTTTGCTTGACTGGTCTTGTGACCTCTTGTTCTCCCCCACTTTGCCTATGGGGGTGTGTCAAACTGATATGCTATAGTCTGTGTAGGTTGTAGTGGGGTAGACAATATGGGGTACAACACTTTTAGGTTTTCCTACTTGTACCCACCTGCTTGCTAGTTCATTCATTCTTCATTTCTTCACACTGAAGGCATCCCACAAGCTTCAATCACTTCGCCCATTCCTGATCTGCCAATCTCACTGTCCAAGGCAACATGAGATCAATGAGAGAACACCGCATCACATAGGGCCGTGTTGAGATACGACATCAACAACCAAGAATGCAACGAACACAAACATCCGGGAAACAACGAGAGTGGGGAAACCTAAAGGTGAGCCAAAGCGAAGCGAGAGGCATCTCTATGGCTTCCACGCTACAGCAACCACGACAAACTGGTGGCGCAACATGGGCGATGTTGGTTGCAGGCAATACTGAAATCACTTTTGAGAATTCTTGAAATCACTTTTGAAATCACTTTTGAGAATGATTGGAATCACTTTTGAAATCACTTTTGAGAATTCTCAATAGTGATTTCAATAAAACTGGTGGCGCAACATGGGCAATGTTGATTGCAGGCAGTGAGGTGGGGCGTGCTCACATAGATGTGTGGCGATGAGCATGGACGAGTTGATGGAGGATGGCACGACACTGGCACATGGTGAGAAAATGGACGATGGGAACGAGGGGGTGAAGGGAGAAGAAGGGATGAGAGGTGAAAGAGAGGTAAGAGAAGGGAACGTTGTCACCGCATATGCACTTAATGCATATGCAATAACAGGAGAATGATGGTAAAGTGTGGGCGTCATACTAAGTCCATAGGAAGATGAGATAGGAATGAGAATATAAGTAATAGGTGTAGGATGTAGTGAAGTTACTGTTAGGAGCGAGGGTGTAGAAGGGGGGAAACAGGATAAGAGCGGTTGAGATAAAAAGGGGGAAAGACTCCGAAGGGCGAAATGTGAAACCAATGAACCCCAACCCCGAGCCGCACATTTGGAAATGTGCAGCCAGGGGTGGGGTAAGGTCACTCACCTCCAACCCATCGTTGCTTTCTCGTTGTTATTCTCTTACACTAGTGAATTTGATTGTCTCAGGCTCTAAGCACACGACAGCACACTAAGAGGGAACCTGCGGGGTGAGAGACCAGCTTCTTTCATAACAACGAGAAAGGGACACGGGGGCTAGGACTGTAACTTCTGAGCACGAACGAGATTGATCGATACGAGTTGCGCTGGGGTAGGGCGTATAGCCGACGGGAGGAGGAGCGGGAGCGCCGAGAGCCGTCACGAGAGCGTGGGCGATCCATGGAGCGATCGCCGCGCCGTCCCGCCTTCTGCGCCGATCGGGTCCGTGCTATGAGGGATGGTCGAGTAGCAGATACACGAGGGAATGACGAAGGACATGCTGAACGCGCAGATCGAAATGCGTGGCTCCAGGAGAGCGGACGCGGACCTGGCACGGAGGGCGGAAACCACCCCGGCGGAAGGGTGTTCCGCTCCCCGGAGGAGCGCGGACGACGTCGCGACGAGAGAGGGCGGTGGTTGGCATTCGGCGAGCGGTCTCGCGGACAAGGAGGGAGCGGCGGTAGCGTTGCTCGCGGAGAGAACTCGCCGCGCAATGCAGTTCGAGAAGAGACGCCGGAGCAGGGCGCGGAGGACGAGGAGGAAGGATCGGGACGGTCAGACGAGGAGGCAAGGATAGAAGGGGCGAATGAGGCACGAACAAGAGGAACGGGCGGTGCGGAAACCGAGCCGACGGAAGCGCAAGCGGAGACGAGCCCGGTGGCGGTCGCGGAATTAGAGGCCAATCGCGCGGTCGAGACGATCCCCACGAGGAAGGGCGGCGCACGGAGAGCTCCGGACGGCAGGAGCTGGGCGGGCCAGAGATGAGCCATCGAGCATGGCAGGCGCCGAATCCGCGCGGCAAGGGGAAGAAGGAGCGGTCCCGCTCGGCAGAGAGGGAGCGGCGCCTCGGGGGAGGGCGTGTGGGCGAGTTCCGCCCGCGCGGCGAGCGCCAGGAGCAGGGAGAGTGGAGCGGCGTCGATGCGCATTCGGCACGACGGCAGCAGCCGCACGGTGAGAGGGGGCGAGAGGCGGAAACAGCGTCGCCGAAGCGGCACGGTCAGCAGCAAGGGAGACGCAGCAGCACCATGCGCTCGCCAGGCCGGACTAGGCAGAGGGAGCGGAGAGACAGCAGCTGGTCCCGCTCGCCGGACGGACAACACACACGCAGGGAGAAGTACGCGGGGGAGCGGTCATCGCGGCGTCAGCCGCGCACTTGGAGGGAGCACTTGGACGCCTGGTCACCATTGCCAGAAAGGCAGCCGCGGCGCGAGATGAGCAGATGGGAGGAGCGGGAGGTGCACGGACCGCCGACGGTGCAGTGGGGACGGACAGAGGGGCGAGGAGGATCGAGGGAAAGGCGGTACGAGGCAGGCGGAAGTCGCCAAGAGAGCAGAACGGAAGGCGGAACTCTGGCGCAAGGGGCAAAGCGGGCGCGGGAAGCCAGAGAGGGCATGCAGAGGGCACGGGCGAGGGGAATAGAGAGGAGGCGGCAGGAAGGGGCCAGCGAGGCATGGGGAGAGGGGCGTGGGGGCAGCAACGGCGCCCCGCGGGTGGAGATGCCCGTCAGATTCTCAGGTGACCAGCGTGCAGGACCGACCCTCAAGAACTACCTCATGCAGGTGGGGAATGTGCGGTACTGCTGCGACCGGCACCACATGGATCCAGTAGACTTCTTCCTGAGCCTGCCGAACACGCTCGAGGGAGAGGCCGAGACGCTCTACCGTATGAGGATGGAGGAACTGCTGTGGAGGGCGGGGAGGTACGGCGAGGACCCCACCGAGGCATTCCTAGAGAGGCTGCAGCAGCAATTCCCAGGGCACACGGCCGAGCGCATAAGGGAGTTCCAAGAATTCAGCAGGGGCCGGACTGAATCATTGCTGACCTACTACAACCGGCTGATAAATGCGGCTGAGGACGTGAGATGCACAGACAGCGGCCTTCTCGTCAGCAAGTTCCTGGGGGGCTTGGACGAGGCCTTAGGAGGGGGGTTGAGGATGAGGGTGTATGAGCTCGGAGTGGATGCAAGCCTGGAAGAGGTATTCGCCCTGGCGGAGAGGGTGGAGCTCGCGCAAAGGAAATTCGAGGCATATCTCCCCAGGCCAGCAGAGAGGAGTAGGCGGCCAACGTGGGCGGCGGCCATAATACCGGGAGGAGGAGGGAGAATGGAGGGACGAGGGGAGACTGGGGCGGATACCAGGACATGCCACAGGTGTGGACAGCCGGGCCATCTGCGCAGGGACTGCAAAAACTGTGATGGGTGCGGGAAGCCGGGGCATAGGAAGCGGGAATGCCCGGATGCAGCCCGGTGTAAAATCTGCAAAAGGCAGGGACATGAGGCGAAGGATTGCTACCAGAGGGAAGGGGGGAGCAGGAGGCATCCAGAGGAACTGCAGCGGCAGATCAACAGGTTGCAGGCACAGCTGAGGGCAACAGGGCTGAAGGGGGAGGCGGAGGCAGGAATGTACGCGGGAGAAGGGGGGGGAGAGGAGGTGGAGCAGGACGTGCAGTGTGCTCTCATGGCATGGAGGGGGGCAGAGGAGATGGGGCTGAGAAGTGGGGGAAGAGATGGCAGGCAAGAGCAAGGAAGGAAGGAGCAGGTGAAGGGAGAAGCGCCATCCGAGCCAGCCCAAGAGCCAGCCCCCGCACGCCACCCCCAAGAGAGGCTGGCATGCCAGACCTCGGTGCTGCTGCTTGAAAAGAGAGCCATGGAAGTGGAGGGAGTGAAGGTAACGACAACCATCATAGATACGGGGGCACAGAGCGTGATGTTGGGCAGAGGGATGGCTGAGAGGCTGGGACTGCTGGCTCCGGAGAGACACATGGCCAAGGGGATGCTGGTGATGACAGCGGAAGGGGGGGAGCCGAAATGGATGCCATGCACACGGACGCCCATAGAAGTGACGCTGCTGCCGGGGGGGACACATGAAACCAAAATCCGCATGAAGTGTGGGATTTCCGAGTCGGAGGACTTCGATGTGCTGGTGGGCACCGAGCTGGTGTATGCGGTAGGAATGACCATCTGTACTTGGAAGGAGAGGGTGGAGTTTAGGACCAGATACTGGAAAAGGGAGGGGCCGCTAGGAGAACTGCCAGTGCGATTCGTGAAAGTGGAGCCGAAGAGAGCATACCAGGGCGTGAGGGAGCGGCTGCTAGGAGAGCAGGGAGGGCTCCCAGGGAGGGGAGGGGCGCCTAGAATGAAAGGGTTGGACAAGCTGCAGCAGCAGAGTGATTGGCAGCAGCCCCATCCACCTGGTGGAGTTATTTGGGGGGATAGGGGCTGGGCTGTCAGCAGTGGTGAGGAATGGGATAGCAGTGAAGAGATGGACATATGTGGAGAAGGAACCCGGGGTGAGGAGGATGGCGGAGCACCATGCCAGGAAGCTGCAAGCGGAATTCCCGGACCTGCTGAGTGAGGAGGTGATCAGCAAGGCGACGGGGGGGACGATTCACGATGTGAAAGACATAGGTGAGGCCGAAGTAGCAAGCTGGGGGCAGGTGGATCTGCTGGTGGCAGGGTGGGAATGCCGAGGGGTGTCTTGGGCAGGCAGGGGCAAGGGAGGAGAAGATCATAGGGTGGGGCTGCTGGAGGATCTGTTCCGAATCATGGAGTGGCTGCAGGAGAGGCAGGGCAGGGTGGCATACTTGCTAGAGAACCTGGACCTGGAGGGGGATAGCAGAGAGCCAATCCGACTGGTGAGGGACAGGATCAGGGGACAACTGGGAGAAGGGGTGAGCTGTGATGCGGCCACAATGGGGTCCTACGCGCACCGGCTCAGAATGTACTGGCAGAATGTGGTCCCTGCCGAGCAACTGCAGGCAGAGATGGAGGGGGTAAGGCGAGCAGCAGAAAGGAAGGTGAAGGATATCCTGGAACCAGGGCGGACCCCAGCACCAGTGTATCGCAAGAGCTACAGCAGGCATGAGCAGTGTAACCAAGTGGGGCAGGAGAGGAGGGCTCTGCCTACGCTGGTGGCGTATGTTGGGGCAGCAGGGTACAAGTGGGAAGCAGGGAAGCCGGGGCCAGGAATGGTGTATGACCACAAGAAGGGGAGATGGGAGGAGCCCACGGCACTAGAGCGGGAGCTGGCTATGGGATACGGGGAAGACGCAACAGCAGCGCCTGGGGCAAGTGAAGCGGACAGGAGGAGGGCTCTGGGGAATACAATGGATGGCCACGTGATGAGGTGGCTGATTCAGCGGATGTGGCGGGAGACGGTCGTGAGCTGGGGGCAGGCGGAAGAGAGAGGAAGGATGGAGGCGGAGCCACGGGGTGCATGGAGCTGCCAAGAGAAGGAGGAGGAGAGCTGGGTGGTGGGGGAAGGGATGAGCAAGGAGGGAAAGGAGGCCATGGAGGAGCTGCTCGCCAGGCACAGGAAGTGTTTTGCCTTCACCATGCAGGAACTGGGAAGGTGCAAGGTGAAGGAGATGGAGCTGAAGCTGAGCAGCACAGAACCTGTGTTCCAGTGCAGGAGGAAGATGCCGCCTGGGGATGAGGAGACCTGCAAGGAGAAGATCAAGGAGCTGCTGGAAGCAGGACTGATTAGGAGATGAGAGTCCGAGTATGCCACACCCACAGTGGTGGCAGCCAGGAGAGACCTGACAGGGGAGGTGCTGAGCAGGAGAATGTGTGGAGACTACAGGGCACTCAACAAAATCACCGTAGCAGACAGGTACCCGATGCCGATGGCGGAGGAGATCTTTGACAAATTGGCAGAAGGGGTGTTCTTCACTACTCTGGACCTGCGGCAGGGGTTCAACCAGATCAAAATCAGAAAGGAGGACGTTAGGAAGACGGCCTTTCATGGGCCGGACGGGCTGTATGAGTGGTTGTACATGTCGTTTGGACTGAGGAACGCATCAGCAGTATTCCAGAGGGTCATGGACAGCGTGCTGCGTGGAGTGGAGTGCGCAGCCTGCTATATTGATGATGTGGTGATCTTCAGCACCACAGAGCAGCAGCACCTGCAGGATGTGGAGCGGACCCTAGCGGCGATTGAAGCGGCGGGACTCACCTGCCATCCGAAGAAGTGCAGATGGGGGGAACAGACGGTGCAGTACCTAGGGTATGAGGTGAAAGGGGGATAGATAGGGATCCAACAGGCCAAGGTGGAAGTCCAAGACAGACTGAGGGAGCCGAGGGACAAGTCAGGGCTGAGAGCAGTGCTGGGCTTCTTGAGCTACTACAGGCGGTTTGTGCCCAACTTCAGCAAGCGAGCAGCGGTGTTGAATGTGCTATTGCGGGAGGACCAGGCGTGGGAGTGGGGGGAAGCACAGAAAGGGGCGCTGCAGGACCTGATGGCAGCAGTGAAGACCGCGACGGTGCTCAAGCTGCCCGCCGCTGATCAGCCGTTCACGCTTTACACCGATTGGAGCAGCCAAGGGTTGGGGGGGATTCTCTGCCAGGAGGTAGAAAGAGAGGAGAAGGTAGTGGCATATGCGAGCCGGAGCTGCAACTCGGCAGAGGCGCAGTACAGCTCCTACATCGGAGAAGGGTTGGCAGCCGTATGGGCAGTAGGGCATTTCAGGGTGTATCTGCAGGGGAGGGAATTCACCTTAGTAACAGACCACCAGCCCCTGACGTGGCTGATGTCAACCCCGGGACTAACGGGCAGGAATGCAAGATGGGCGATGAAGCTGCAGGAGTATGACTTCAAGATCAGGCATAGGCCAGGAAAGACACTGCAACACGTAGATGGCCTCTCACGGAACCCCCCACCGCTTGAGCCCACTGTAACCTTGACACTGCTGGCCAGATTAGTGGAGCAGAACGGGGCCAAGGAGGGGAAGAGGCCAGCAGACATATGGGAGGACGGGCCGGCCCTGCGATGGGTAAAGGGAGAGACGGGCGAGGATGAAGCGCTACCGGCACGGGTAAGGGCAAGGGGCCAGCACTACTGGTGGTACCAGCAGTAGTTGCAGGTGCAGACAGAGGACGGATGGAAGCTGGTGCCGGCTCCAAGTGAGAGAGAAGCAGTGATTAAGGAAG